CCAGTTTGCCCAAAACTGAGAGAAGTGGCTGAGTACCACCTTTGGTCCATGGCTTATTACCCTTTAATGTTTGTAAGCCACCCAGAAGTCCTGTAGGAGAGATGGGAAGCAAGCAAATCTAATAAATAAATAAACAAACTAATCAATCAGTAGTCCCTTAAAAATGTGTTGGTTGTTCGCCCATATAAAAAATTCTGAAAAGGAATACAGAAAGAAAACATAGTGCTCACTTTTATCTGCCTGCATGCTCAATCTGTTTTTTTCTACCTAATTCTAGCTACCTTTTGCAGTCATACCTGTTCTCACCTTCACCAGCATGGAGCCTCTCATGAAGGATTTTGTCAATGGGATGTAAGTAGCTCAATTTGGATGGGGACTCTTTGGTGAATCCGAAGACCGTTTCCATCTCAAATTTGTACTGTTGAACCTCTCACAGAACCACATTACCCAGATCTCTATCTTCCATCCAATTTCAACTTAGCCAGGCTTGCTTGTTCTTCCATATAAACAGCTTTTTCATTAGGTTGTTCCATAAATAGAAGATGCTCAGGAGGTGTCCCTGTCATGTCAAGCTCAACCTCTGGTGACTATTGTGGATACGTCCTTCCTTTTTTGGCAATAATAAATCTCAATACGCATAGGCATTATTTACGCTAATTATAGTATTTAGAGGATTGCGTGGTTTCCTTTTCTTTAAAGACAAAAATGAAAGAAATCAAGGTATGAAGTGTTCTAAGAAGAGGAAGTCTTCTACTCCCCACAGAGATTAATCTTTTTCACTTTAGGCGATTTGGCAGATGTAGCTCTCTCTGGTTGAGATGGAATTGCTTCAATAACCTCAATCCATGTATTTTCCCCCCCACTTGCTTCTCTCTCTCCTCCTATTTTCTTAGCATTGGAAAATTTATAATGATCCTGATCACCGGATTAATCTGTGCAATCAATTTATACTTCGTGGTGACAAGCATCATAAGTTTGAACTACCTGGCCTACTATATTGGCATATCTTTCGTGCTCCTTGCTTACGTTGCTTTCGTCTGCTACCTGGTAGGAACCTTGTATGCAAATTGGGCATCATCCATATCAGTTGTTTATCCCCAAATTGGATTTAACAGTTCTGGGGATTACCTATTCAAACAGATAAGATTGTGGAATCTATTGCATTAAGATGTTCCTAATGCAAAATCTCCAGAGAAGATAATCAGTAACCTGAGTCGTAGTGATGAAATAGCGATGCCGGTTTATCCTGAATATTCAGTCAGCTCAGCTCTTTCTCTTCCCCCATTCCTTATCATAACTAAAAATGATGTTATATAAAGATAGGTGTTTATGAAGCAATAGAATGACATTTCGGGAGAGGGAACAGAAATGGCCTGAAAATTGTATAACTTGCTAAGCTATATAACGTTGTTTGACTTTAGCACAGCATGTCATGCCAAATTCAACTTGCCACTTTTAAGCAAATTTCAACTTAGCAGAATTTCTGGAACAGATCTACTGGTCCTAGGGAAACGATAAATAAGTACTTTGTGAAAGGAAAGTAACTCAGACATACAGTATCTCTTGGGCAAACATGTTGGCTGAGAATTCTGAGAATGGTCACTCCAATGTATCTGAAGGGCAAAAGCTTGAAGTAACTTAAGAATGTAAAAGAATTGTTAAAGGTTAGTCACACAGGGACACAGAAGCTTCCTTACTATTGCAGGCAGATGGAGTATATAAGGAAGGTTCTTTGGCTTGACAGTCAAAACTCTCCCCCATTTATTTATTTAATATACATATATAGCCACCCATCTCATATACTCCATGACTCTAGTGTACAAATACATGCAACTTTTTCTTGGATTTTTGTCATCTCTCTCACCATTCCAGATTTGGACCTGTCTCATTTCACATGGAGCTGTCTTCCTAACCCGTGGGCCCCATACTCGGTTCAGTTATGGACTACAATGATAGTACATCCCACTCATCGCCACTGGAAGCTGATGAATCATCACTATGTCTCCCCAACAAAACAGGAAGCAGCTGCTCTTGGGGATCTGCCAGGAAGCAAAGGTGTCAGAAGCAGAGTTTCTGTTGGCAAAGGATGGACTCCAGCATCAGTAGTGATCACTCAGCACAGCGCCTGCCTTGCAGGCCAAAAGTTCCAGAGAAAATTTCTGGCATTCCTAAAGAACCTTCAGACTTGGAATGGCTGTGGTGTGACTTCCAAAGAGGGTTTAAGACTTGATGCATTCTTGTTTTTTAATCCTGATGACATGTAGCAAGTTGGGGGGAGGGGGGCAGTGTAAAGAAAGAACTATAAAGTATTCTAGATACTCATGACCAAATGTGCACACCGTCTACCAGCTTCAGACCCAGATCGGCTTTGTGTGGAACATCAAGGCATCCACCTTAGTAGTGGGTGGGGAACAGTCTTTTTGGGGGGGAGAGGTGGGTTTAGGAGCTTAAGGAATGAGGGTTTGGTTCCACCATTGGTGGGGGCCACACAAAGGAATGATGGAAGAATGCACACATCCCTTTGGTTCTACTTTTGCACCATTGCTTTAGACCAACGGTTCTCAACCTGTGGGTCATGACCCCTTTGGGGGTCGAATGACCCTTTCACAGGGGTCACCTAGGACCATCCACCTCCACCAGCATCGCCCATGCTCAGGAACACGTCCTGAAGCAGCAGGTGCATGAAGAGTGCTGGGTGGCGAAGCAGCCTCCTCCTGGCTCTGGGCGCAACCCAGATGCCGCCCCGCCCAGTCTCCACACCAGGGAAAGGCCGAGCCACTGAAGGGGGAGAGAGACGGGTTATTCTGGATCAGCCTTGGCTCCAACGGATGTCCGATGCCTGCACAGGGGCTCGAAGGTGCCTGGAGAACAGGAGACCGGCGGGGCAGTCAGGCCATCCGCTTCAGCTGGCGGGATGGGCTCTCGCCCAAGCAGGCACATGCCAAGATTAAAGCCGCCTTGGGCCTGGACGCTGCCTTTGCCGCCCCCGCCGTCATTCCTGTCCTGTGGGCTAAACTGAGCTCGTAGGCTTTTTGGCCCCCAGGAAGGGCTGGCAGGAGAGATCGGAGGGGAGGACAGGCCCCACCCACCCATTCCTTCCGTCCCAAGGAATTCCACTCAGGACAGAAGCACAGTTCGATGTAGCTGAAGCCTCTGTTTAAAATCCCATTTAAAGAGCAGCATCTTAATATGTGTTAAATCGGTTGAGGGAGGAATGGAAAGAAAGAAAGAAAGAAAGAAAGAAAGAAAGAAAGAAAGAAAGAAAGAAAGAAAGAAAGAAAGAAAGAAAGAAAGAAAG